CAGTGTAGTCCTGTTTCTCTGACTGTGACTAACTGGATGTGCTCTCTTCATCCTCTGGCATGGGAGCTGCCTTGGAGCTCGTCTGCCTGGCTGTATGTTTCCTGGATGGGGTCGCCTTTTATAGCTGCTTTTTGTATCTCTGCTTCTGTCTCCTTGAACCCCAGTGGGCCTCAGCAGATGGCCGCTCACACTGAGTCTGGTTCTGCTGGAGGTCTCTTCCTGTTAAAAGGGAGTTTTTCCGCTCCACTGTCGCTACAAGCATGCTTAGTGTGAGGGATTGCATTCAAGTCAATGATCCGATGCAATCAGCTGGTTTTCCTTAGATAAAAACTTTGAATCAATCTGACTGGATGATCTGGTTGAACTGTAAAGTGCCTTGAGATGACATGTGCTGTGAATTGGTGCTATATAAATAAACTGAATTAAATTGGATATCTTCTGTCCAGCTGAATAAAAATATTCCAGATCTTTGTACGTTACCTGAACTGAAAAACACAATGTTTTGATAAATGAAAGAAAACTACTTTGTTTTTTTTTTAAGGTTGTAAAATAATAAAAAAACAAAAAAAGTATAACAATACATTTATTTTTGTAGAAAAAAACATTATCAGCAAATTGCTGCTTAATTGAACATTAAAAGAGGTCCCTGCACAAGAAAAATAAAATAAAAATTGTATTTATAACCTTTAAAAAGACTTTTCATGGGGTTAACCATGATCTACCTTTATATGAAATGTCATATTTTATTTATTCAGCTGAGAAAGTTAGATGGTTTTCCTCTTACCTTCAGACTAGAGCACAATGCATTAAAGGAGACCGAAACCAATCAGGAATTTTAACCATAGAATAACGGCATCCTGCAAGGTTCTATACTCGGTCCTTTGCTTTTAGGGCTTTTCGGAAATCATTGCCTTTGCCCTGTGGAGCTAAAGTGCCAGTATTTGTTTCTATGCCGACGATGCAGTCATTAATGCACCTGCTAACTCAGCTGAGATAGCTGCAGGTTTTATTCAGCTGTATGCCTGATATCCAAGATTAGCTTATCCAAAACCAGTTAGCTCTGAATCTGTGAAAACTCTCCATGTGTTTCTCTGTTCAGAAACTTTATTTTAGATGAATAAAATCACCCTGTAACAGAATTGAAATACTTTAGATTGATTTTAGATTCTCATCAGAGATTAGATAAAAACTATCTGAAAAACAGTGAAAAGTTTCCAACTACATACCAAACCACTCAGCTCTGCCATACGTGCATCTATGATCTTCTCTCACATATCATCTTGCATGACAGCCTGGACTCAGGCTGCTCCTACTGTTACCAACCGCATTGGTTCTTTATACTATAGAGCGATAAATAGATGGAGAAAACGCCAATACGCCTTCACTGCTGTTCAGTTCAAATGAAAAAATAAAACTAATAAGCTTTAATAACTTTAAAAATGTCTTTTTTCTTAAACATTTAGCAGCTCAGCCTCTACATACAATAAGATAGATCAACCTATACTAGAGTCACTAGAAGCTTTCTCTATTTAAAGTATTAAACTCTCACTGCTGTAACATTTTAAGGTCATAACCGATGTAAGCATGTTCATCTCCAGGATTTATGAATAATTGAAGATGAGTCAGAGCTGTACTCATTTTTAATGATATAATGGTAGATTAACTAGAATCCAATAATAGTTTTATATGTCTGTCTGGTTATATTGATGTATTTATTGTTATTTTTCATTTGATTGGTATTTATTGTGTTAAACTCCTCCTATGGATAGGTGTTATGAATTATCCATTGACTATAAATACTATGATGCAGGCATCAGATTGTTTTATTAATAGTGATCTGTGGTTATTTTTATAAATCAAATACAAAGTTTTATCATAGCAATATAGATGCTGCACTTTCAGCTTCAGTCATGTTGAAATCAGATCACAGTTTTCATCTGGTGCCTTTAATTAGGCTACCTTCACTGCAGCCTGAAGCGACCCAGATCAGATGTTTTAACCCGTACAGATCTGATTGTTTCAAATGTGACACAGGCATCTGGGTTATGTGGCCATAAATGGATAAATGCATTTGATTAGTTTTAAATGTGACCTGTGTCTGAATGCCCATTCATTTACCCTGTATTCATCCACTCAACATGCATCATTATTCTGCTTCCTGCTACGTGGAAACTGGAAGAAAAACAGCCACGGCAGGAGCAATGCAGAGAGCAGCCGATGGAGAGGAAGCAAGGCTGCTGATTAGATAATATTTGGAAGGATTTACTCTATTCAGACCAAACCTACCAGAACAGATCTATATTTGATGGATAGATGCGCTCCGGCAGTACCATCCATGATGACTGCCACAGTCACAGAGGACGCTCGCTACTCCTGACGCCGGTGCATCCTCTGCTGCACATGCAGGAGACTGGAGTGAATGCAGTTCACACAGGAGATCAGATACAAGTCAGGTAGATTTGGAAATATGAACGACTATGAGAAAACAATCTGATTTCACACAGAAAAAAAATAATTTTGCAATTTAGCCTTAGACTTAGACAAACGTTATTGTCATTTTGTATACAATTTTCTGACAGTCAATGAGCTTAGCAGTGAAAAAAAAACCATTTCCATTTCTTAAAGTGCAGCAGTGATCAAATCTAAACAGTGTAGGAGAGACGTGGTGCAGAAAAAAGAAAAGCATTGATGTGGAAGTTAAGAGCATGGCAAAAATAAATATATATATATATATATAAGGTGCAAAAATGCAACAGAAGTTCTATTTGGTATGATGTTATCAGTGTGTTGCAGAGTCTCAATTTGTGACTTTATTTAGTGTTTTTTCAATAGTTTAGCTGTCTGATGATGGTGGAAAAGAAGCTGTTTTGGAACCTGCTGGACCTGCATCAGATGCTTCGAAGTCTCTTCCCAGAGGGCAGCAGGGAGAACAGTCCATGGTGGTGGGGTGAGGGGTCATTGATGATGTCACGGGCTCGGGAAACGCAGCGCTGGAGTGAAATGTCTTTAATGGAGGGAAGAGGAGCCCCCATGATCCTCTCTGCTGTTCTCACCACTCTCCTCACTTTCTTCCAGTCTGAGGTGCTGCAGCCTCCACAGCACATAGTGAGACAGCTGGTCAGAACGCTCTCTATGGTGCTTCTGGAGAAGGTGGGGAGGATGGGTGGGGGTAGGTGGGCTCTCCTCATCCTCCGCAGGAAGTCCAAGCGCTTCTGGGCCCTTTGGACCAGTGAGGTGGTGTTTCCAGTCCAGGTGAGGGTGTCTGTGATGTTCACCCCCAGGAATTTGGTGCTGTTGACTTAACAGCTTGAAA